AAAAAAAATTAATTGTAATTAATTAGAAAATTATTAATTTAATAAAATTATAAATTAATTATAATATATATAACTAAATTAATAAATGAATAAGATTAAATATAAATAATAAGATAAATTAAAAATAAAATTATAAATAAATTAAATTAAATATTATTAAATTCTTGTATATTTAATTTAAAAATAATTAGTAACTATATTATATATTATAGCTATATTATTTTATTATATTACTCAAATTAACTAATTAATTATAATATAATATAAATAAAATAGATCTCTTTTTTGTATAATTCTAGGTTAAATATTAAAAAAAAGCTAAAATAAAAATAAAAATAATAATATTATAATTATATTTTTTTAATATAGTATAGAATAACATAAGATATCTAATTTATTATATAAAATATTAAATTTTAATTCTAACTCTAGTATTATATAATAATATAATCAATTATATAATTAATGATAAATTAATATTGATCTCTATAATAAGATTAGTAAAAGTTAAATTATCATATTATTTAATTAATATCTATTAATTTATATATAGACAAAGTAAGTAAAGAATACTTCTCATAGTAAAATAAGAATAATTATATCAAAAAATAAAAATATTCACCATTATAATATATATTCTTAATATTTATTAATTAGATATAATAAAATATACTCTTTACTTTTTATTATATCTATTTTTCTTTATCAATTTAATAATTTATTAACCTGATTTATAATCTTTTTATTAATTAATCTATATCTTTTATACTTTTTGATCATATATTCTATTACTTTTCTAGTTAAATTATGATGATAAGTATTTATTTATTTAAATGATAGTTTAGTAAAAGAATAAATTTTCTTTATAAGAATAAAATCAAATATTTATAAGATTATTTCTCTGAATTTTGATGATAAGTACTTATAATAAGATCAAGTATACTTCTTAACTATTTTTTAGTATATCTTAATATAATTAAATTCAAAATAAAACTTAAAATAAAATATAATTTAAGAATGAATAATATTATCAAGATCAAACTAGTTAAAAAAGAATGATTAAAGATAATAAAATTATTTTATATTTATAAAATTTGATTTCTTATTGAATTTAATTACACTATGCAAGAAAATCTGGCTAATTAGCCATTAAATAATATGCATAATAATCAATAATATTAGAATTTATCTTTTTTCTCTTGTATAAAGTATATTCTAGTATCATTCTCTCTTGTTATAATACTCTTTTACTAAAAATCTACTGGATTTCTTTAGGCTGATTATGCAAGTTAATATTGAATTTTATCTTTTTGTTATAAATAAAATAATCTTCTTTAATAATTATTAATTAATAACTATCACTTTATATCATATCTTATATTTTTAGAACTAATTCTTTTAGATTAAGATTCATTTTTGAAGTATCTTTAGTAAAAGTTATATGAGAAGTAGTATTATCAAAAATAAATATATTCATATTCTCTAGATATATTCATTCAAAAATATTTATCATCTGTATAACTTGTTCAAGAAGTTTTATGAAATCTCAAAATTTATCTCAATTAGTATCAAGTATTATTATTATATATATTTATCTTTAAGCAATTTTATTATCTCTATTAAAAAATTATTCATATATATATCAAGATCTAATTCTTTTTTTTATAATGGCTATTCTTCTTTAGGATCCTATATAATATATGATTTATTATAAGTATAAAAGATTAATTCATTATGAGTTATCCATATATACTCTTTCTTATTATTATTCAAATATGAAAAAGTTCTTATTTTATAATTTTTATCAAGTTACTTAAATATAAGTTAATTGAGTTTGATAATCTCTTGAAGAAAAATTTGATGATAAATAATAATATCAGACTATTCATGTCTATCTATATAGATATTTTTTTGAAGATATTTATATCAAAAATCAAATTTATATATATTTTAATAAGAGTTTGAATTAAAATATATTAAACAGATTCAATATTTAACTGAAAAAGAATATATTATTCAAAATATTTCTTGATCATTATTAGATTCATTTTGAACTTTTAAATATGTAGATAAGTAACTAATTAGAGAAAAACTAACTTATTATAAAGTAGACTTTAAAAAAAATCTCTTTTAAGTGATTAGCTAGATTAATTCTTCTTTTATATAAATATTTATTCACTTTTTTACATATTTCATAAGTCATAATTCACTATTAATTATCTCTAAAATTGTTTTTACTATCTTAATTTTCTTTTATTATTAAGTTATAATTAGAAAAAATAAAGAACTACTATATAACAAGTAATTTAAGTTTTAAAAAGTATTTTATCAAGTATTATTTTATTTATAAATTTAATTATCTTATATATATTTTCATTTTGATCAATCCTAATTCAGTACTATTACTATTTTTAATATTTTCACTAATAAAATGAAAGAATTACAAAATTTTTGAACTTTTTATTATCACTTCTCTTAATTTTTTATTTTTTCTTTACTATATTTATTTTGAATTATCAGTATAAATAGTTAGATGTACTTTTTTCTTAAAGCTTATTATTATTATTACAAAAAGCTAATTAATTATAGAATTCTCATTTGTCTTAATATTATTTAACTTATTATTATCCTTTTAATAATTATCTTCAAGATTATTATCTTCAAAATTAATATTTTTATATTTTTACTTAAGCCAAGATTAACAAGATGTTCTTTTCTATTAATATCTTTTAAGCTTTAAAAGTCTTGATATAATAAGAGAATGACACTCTTAGAATAATAAAATAAATCTTTTAATAATAAAATAATTATCTTAATTTAATAAAATAATCTTCTTAATATAATAAAATAATCTTTTCAAAATATATACTTTTTAAAGTATATAATATTATTAAATATTTTAAAAAGTATGTATTATTATTATATATAGTCTAAATTAGTATTATAATAATATTAGTCTAAATTATAATTAATATAATTAATTCTGACTAATAAAATTACAAATATATGATAAAATCATATGCAAAATTAATGTATTTTTATGCTAATTTTTTGATTTTATTATAAAAATTAAAAAGTTTAATGTGTTATAATTTCTTAAAATAAAAAATATTCTTATAAAATTATAGCTTTACTAAAGATCTATCAATTTATAAGAGGATTTTTTATTTTAATTATTTATTTAAAAGTTATAAAATTTTTTGTAAGTCAACTAAAAGTGAATATCTTATATTATTCTATATTATATAATCTTCAAAATATAATTAAGTAAATAGTTAACTAAAAAGTCTTTTTCTTTCTACTTTAATTTTTCTAATTAGATTTATTTTAATATATTATAAGATTATTCTTTTAATTATCTTAATTTTCTACTAATTTTTATTAATTCATAAAAAAATTTTTATTTTATAATCTGTATTTAATTAGATAATTACTTTGAAATTATTTTTCACAGAGGGAATATTAAAAAATTATTATCTTTTTGATATAAGTATTAACTTAAAGATAAGTTAAATTATCAAATACTTTTGCTAAGAATTATGATATAGAAGAATTCTTTATAATATATTAATAAGAATATATTTTTTTACTAGAAGTTATTAAAAATAATTTCTAAAGATAAGTAATAATAGTATTTTTTAATATAATTAGCTAGAATATAATTTAATTTTAAAATATAATTTAAAGACAGATATAATAATCAGTTTATTAATAAGATAAAATAATAAATCTTAATTAAAATCTATTCTATAAGAAATATTTCTTAGAATTCTTTTTAATTATAATTTACTTAAAATATAAATTAAGAACTAAACTTATAAAACTCAAACTAAACTAATAATAAATTAACTAACTGACTAATTAACTAATTATTTTTTTTCACTAGCTATGATACATCATTTTTATATATTTTAGAGATTATATAAATGATACTTTTATTATAATACTGATACTAATACTTATATTATTTTTATTATGATCTAAATATCACTTTAGTTAGTATCATAATATTAATTTTGTTATAATAATATTATTAGATTTGCTATAATAGTTTTTGTCATGATCATTATATTTACAAAATTATTTAAAAATATTTACAAATAATATTCTTTATAATTAATGTTCAATAAGATATAAATAATTAATTATCTAATTATATTGTGATATGAAGTATTTAATGATAAATAGCTAATTAATATTTTACTAAAAGTTCATATTATAATAATATTTATAATAAAGTTTCTTAATATATTAAATAAAATTTAATATAATAAATCTAAATATAATAATAATTTATTTTATTTATTTTTTCAATATAATCAAATTTTTATTATATTTAGATAAAAAATTATATTAATAAAATTTGATATATCAAGAAATTTTATTATAAATACAAATTTATTTTATTTAAATTTTGTTATATTCAAATTTATTTTCTATTTGAATATAATAAAAATCTAATTATATTAAAAAAAATGGATGAAACAGATTATTTTATTATATTTAGATTCATTATATATTCTGAAAGCTTAGAATATGAAAGTTTTAATATAAAATTTGAATTATAAATTTTGCTATAAATTACATTTAATTATTATCAATCAGATTAATATATATATTATATTACTCAATCTCAATTTATTTAAAGATATTTATATATAAAATTTAAAATAAAAAAATTATATAAATTTAATAAATTTTAAAAAAGTATTATTAAATTATGAATTTTATTTTATATTTTATATATTTATTATTAAAAAACATTTTTAAATGTATTTTTGTAAAATTTCAGTATTATTAAAATCATAAAAAAAATAATATCATATAAAAAACCTCCAGCACTTTTGATGTCTTTGCATCATATTGTTTTGCCTTAGGAAAATATTTTGTTTACATATTAATATTGATTAGATATAAATAAGGTATACATCATCAGTTTGGATTTGCTCGTGCTGGAATATTGACTGTAATAATTGAACTAAAACTTACCAATTATTATTTCATCTATGGTAATACAATCCGCGATCATTCCATCTGCTACTAGTACTTCCCCCATTATTATCACCTCCACCACTTGTATAATATCGATTATTATTATTATTCCAATCATGATTGCTTTTGTGACCAATTGGCGAATACTCTTCGTTACCAGCAAAATTATTATAGAAATAGTTACTTGGTGATGGTGGCGACGTTGATGATGTTAGTGGCAAAGACGATGGTGAAGAGTACGGCGACATAGAGATAAATGAGGATGCAGAAGACGCAGTAGTAGCAGAAGTAAAAATACGATTACTATTAATCATTGCGTTACTACGGTTCGCCTGGTGTACAAAATAAAGGAATACCACGCTAGCAATGCCGCTCACGAGAAATATCACGTCGAACCAGCGATGGTAAAAGTTGAATTCTATTGCACCGAGAACTTTGGATATTATCATTCTTATTTTTGATAATGTATTACGTGATATGTGATGTGAATATAAATGTAAGATGATAATAAAATAGCAATATTATTATCAAACCTGTATTCAGCAGGTAACGACATTCTCAACATCATCACCGAACTCAAAAAGTACATGCCCATTATTTGCGCGAGGAATAGCACAATGTTGCTTCGAGATACTGAATTCGAAACAGCTCTAAAGAACTTTTAATGTAAAAGTTATAATCAAAAGTTTAATATTAGTTGATTATGAACATTCGATATAAGATTATATGTGCGTGCAAAAAGATATTGTATAAGTATAATTTACGATAGAATACCTTCAACAACTGAATCAACAACCCACGAATCGAAAAAATGATCATCAGCCCCACGAACAAGAAACTCAACTGCTGTGACCAGAATGGTACGTCCATTTCCAAATTTATGTATTTGATTGCAAGTGTAAGACCATATGTTATTGGATCTGAAGCTGGACCGGTATTCCGGCTGAGGATAATGTTAATTGAGGCCTTTTTATTTCAAGTAATTGACATCAGAGAATGATGTTGCACAACAATGTTATTGGATAGCGGATATGAGGAGTATGAATTATAAACTTGCTTGTTGGTATTTACCATCACAATCTTGTAGATACAGTATACAGAGAAAATGTAGCCAAGGTAATTAAAGTATTGTCCTTTCCATGTTTTCGAATATTCAAGACGACCCTTTTTTTAAAGATATATATATATATATATATACAAATATACTTAATTAGGTAAGCAAAATTCGCCATCAATAATCATAATAAAATATGTTGGCACATTGAATTTTGAGTTATCATAAAGATCGACAATAAACCTTCTCTTGATATAAATCATCAATATCCAAAAATAATTGACGCGCTAAATTCTCTAGACCTGTTATTTCTTGTCGTAATGTGCCGATATCTGTTTTTTTTTGTTTTTATTTTTCGTGATATTTATGATAATTAGCGAATTTCAGTAAAAATAATCTATAAATAAAATAAAAAACAACATACTTTCACCATCAGCTCCCATACCCCCAGCCACTGTATTAAACATTTTCATTACAAATCCGCCGACTCTTGACCTATTATTATTATGCTTAATTGATTAATCATAAAAATCAAATAAATCTTTTACACATTATCGAAAATAAATAATCGAAAAATCAATATATTTAACTACCTCATTAACATTATTCTTTTGACGCGTCTGTATAATCAGTATTCGTCTCTTTTTGTTCATGATTTGCTCAATTATTTGAAGGTATTTTTTCTCGGCTGATTGTATATCGGCGTCCGTAACTTGTCTAAATAATTTGAATTTTTTTATAAGTAAATAATATATAAATCGAATCAATATATTAAACAATAATTATTTACTAACCTAAGAAAAAAGAATAAAGTGGCATAGGGACTATTCACCGCGCCAAATCCCGATAGAATAGCCATTATCGTGACACCAATAACACCCACACGACTCATACCCGACTGAATAAAGATATCATCTGTCCAATCAAAAAGTCAAAAAACAAATTAATATTTATTTACCCAGGTAAGAATTATAGCATATGACATTATCCCTCCTCTACCAGGATCATATGTAATGTATATCACATCCTTTGAATAAATCAGAAAATAAATCAATCATACTTGTCTCTGAAGTATTAAAGTTCTTTGAGATTGGGAACAAATTTCCCACTTGCCAAAACCCATAAAAGTATATACACCAGCAAATTGTTGCAACTGTTAACGAGTAGCGTGTGGCAAAACCTTTTGTTTTAAACCAAATCAATTTGTAAATTAATCAAAAAAATAAAAATGTCAATTCAAGAATTAAAAAAAATCACATTCAACAAAAAATCAATTTGAATATTAATGAATAAAAGTTAAATCATAAACTAACTCTCACGCAACACGTTCGTAATCACCAAATTCATTTGATAAAAAGGAATAAGTATGATAACGAGGAATAATAATATGTACAAGGTGATTTTCCAGTGAAACCACCGTGAACTAATAATTTTGTTATATAATAAAGTTATGTTGATTTATTTTAATAATATTTGTTAGTTTTATTCAAATAAATGTGTTTTTATTTGAGAAAAGGACAAATGAATGAATAAGTAGAAAATAAAAATGAAACTAAATCTTAAAGATCCTTTCTCTTTGTATGTTCAAAATAAAGTCAAATTATAACATAAACTAAATAAAAATAATATTAACTCTCTGTCCATAACATCCATAATCTCAAAAATGACCAATTCGAACAACGCGCAACTGTTACTAAACGTCAACGAGAACACTGCCTGAACCAACTGCTCAGCATGACGGTCAGTCGACGACTCGTAATCTTTGAATAACTTCTTTACGAGAAATACCCAGCCAAAGGAGAAGAAGAGAACTTGTGATCCAAACAGTATTAACGTGTCGTAAAAGAAGCGGAGGGTAGAATCCACTACCATTTTAGAGTCGAGATTTTCAATGCGAGCATTGAGATCATTATAGATCATTGTCATGTGATTCAAAAATTTTTGTTGCAAAAAAAGTCCTGTGCACGTGATTTTTTAAGGGTAAACTCAATCAGGAAAAATTTAATAACAAAAAATTTGAATGAGATTAGATAGTTTAAAAATAATGAATATAATGTAAATTTTTTTATATTTAAAAATTTATTCTATTTATATTATAATAATTATTAAAATCTAAATAAACTAACTTATAATAGATTAATTAAAAAAGTTTTTGTATTTCTTAAAATCAGAAGAAAAATCTCAATAATTAAAATATTATAAGTTTAATTTGAATAAAAATTATATTAATAAATTTTTTTATAATAAAATTTAATAAATAACTAATAATTTTTTTTAAGATTATATAAGATATAATATTATAATATTATATAAAAAAATATTTATTATTTTTTTTTAATTTTCTTAATAAGCTTCTTTATAATATTTTTAAATATATATTTATATAATTTATAATATTTTTGATAAGCTTATTAATTAATTTTACTTTATATAAATTTATATATTTTTAGAAAAATTATATAAATCTTTAAATATAAAATAAAAATACAGAATTAAAACTTTTAAAATAACATATTTTAAACTTTATAAAATATATTATTTATATATAATTTAATATATTTTAATAAAATTTAATTTATAATAATATTTAAAATAAAAAATATATTTATATTTAACTATTATAATTACTAATTCAAGTTCTTAAAGAATCTAATTATAATAAAAAAATTAAATATATTATTAGTTATAATATTATAATTTATATTATTATTAAATATAAAACTATAATATAGTTAAAAAATATAATTTTAAAGATTAAAATTACTTTTTTATAATTTATTTAAAAAGATATTTAATAATTTTTAATTTTTTTTAACTTTAAAAATTTATAAATTTCAGAATTTTAATGTATAAAAACTAGTAAAAAAAATTTAATTAATAATATCTTATAGAAATTAGATTTAATTAAGAAATTAAAATAAAAAGAGAAAGATTTTTTAATTAATTATTAGAATAAATACTTTTAAAAGTTATAATAATATTAATTATTGGTAAATTAAATAAAATTTTATTACTTTTATAAAAAATAATTTACAGAAAAGCTTTAATATTTAAAAATTAAGTTAATATATAAAAGTTTAAAAATTAATTTAACTTAAAATTAACTTATAAATTAAATTAATTAAAAATTAGTTTAACTTATAAAAAATTTTAGGAAAAATAACTAAAATAAAAATATAAAATATTTAATATTTTTTATAAAATAAAAAAATTTTATTAAGAAAAAATTAATAAAAAGAAAATTACTATAAAAAAGTTAAAATATAAATAAAAATAAAAAATAAAAAAAATAAAAAAAGTAAAAAAGTAAAAAATAAAAAATAAAATAAATAAAAAGATGAAAAATAAAAAATAAATATTATAAAAAAAAGAAATTTATATAATAAATATAATTTTAATATAATTAATAATATTATAAATAATATAAAAAATATATTATTTTACTTTTAATAATATAATAATGTTTTTATTAATTAATAATAATAAATATTTTTATTAACTAATATAATAATAATATAATCAATTCTGAATTAAAATTAACAAGAATTTTAAATAATTTAAATTAAATTTTAAGTTAATTTAGAATTAATTAAATTTAATTTTAATTTATAATATATATAAATTTTTAATAATAATAAATTTTGAATAATATATAATATTAATATTTGATATAATAAAATATAAAAAATATTTTGTAATATAAATAAAAAGATATTTATTATAATATAATTAAATAATTATTATAATATATATAATATTTATTATTATTCTCTTAACTTTTAAATATTAAATATTATAATTTTAAAACTTATAATTTAATAATAAAATATAAAAATTTTAGAATTATAATTTATTTTTTTTTATTATAACTTTTTAAATATTAATATTTCTTTATTAATAATATTAATTATAAAATAAATTTCTATTTATATAAATTCTCTCTTAGATATTAACTTTTATATTAACTTTTTTAAATATTATTATTAATATAAATTAATTTTTTTTAATTAACTTATTTTTTAAATATTAATATAATATATTTATCTTGTATTTTTTTATATAAATTATATATATATATTTAATTATACATATCTATTATATATTTTTTCTATATTAAATTCATGATATTCTTATTTGTTAGATAAAATTTATTTATTCTTTATTTTTTAGCTATCTCTTTTATATAGTTATTATAATTTTATATAATATTAATTATATATTTTATTTTATAATAAAATTTAAATATTTTTTATTTTTAATTTTTTTATATACTTTCTTATATTATATTTACTTATATTTATCTTATTATTATATAAAAGTTATATTAATTTATTTTCTAATAATAACTCTTCTTTAATTTACTTTTTAATAATAATTTTTTAATTTACTTTTCTAATTTATTTCTATAATAATATTTAAAATTTTAATTCTTTAAATTAACTTTTTATCTAATTCTAAATTATATTAAGATAAAAAAAATTAATATTAAAGAAGAAATTATTATAAAAATATTTGATTTTAATAATAATATTAAAATTAAAAAAATTTTCTATTTAGTAATCTTAAAATAATATAAATTACTTTTATAATATATAAAATAATAAGATTTAGAAATTTTTATAAAGAAATAGAACTTATCAAGCTTATAAAACTTATTAAGATATATTTAAATAAATATATTAAGAATAAAATAATAAAAAGCTTGATAAATTTTTTTATAAAAGAAAATGAGAACTCATAATAAAATAAACTAAATAAAAAATAATAATTATATATATAAAATTTCAAAGCTTTTTTTGATAATAATAAAAATAAATAATTATATTAATAAATTATGATTAATATAGTTAATAGAAAATATGAATGTATTAATAAGTTATTACATATAACTTAATCTAATCTTTCTTTATTATTAACTTCTCCAAATATTAATAAAATAACTTCACCCCATAATAAAGAGAGTAAACTGTAATTTAATATGAAAATTAGTATAAAAATATATATTAAAAGAAAAAAATTAATTTGTCAAGTAAATAACTATTTTTAAAAAATTATTATCCAATATATTATAAATTAAGAAAGTTTTAAATTTAAAATATATATAAAAAAAATATAAAAACTCATTACAAAATCAAATATAATATATAATATATTTTAAGTAATATCCTGATAAAATTAGTTATTTTTTGTTATTTTTAAGTTTTTATATAATTAATATATCAAAGTGTTTAATTTTTCCTACTGTGAAATTATTGCATATATCAATCAATATTTTTATTTGTTGTGACACATGTATTCCATGGTTAAAAATCACGTAATAAGCTAAATTAATTAACTGAGAATTGAAATAAAATAATAAATTTTAAATTATAATAATGATATCACGACTTTATAAAAAAGCCCTAATATTTGACGCATTCCCGAAAGTTGATTCAGGTTATCAACAGAAAACAGCACAAGGTGGCCTAGTAACAACTATCGTCTCGATATGCTTATGGTTTTTGATATTAAGCGAGTGTCGAGAGTATTTGCAGGTCTCTCAGAGCTTTGAGTTCTTTGTTGATCAGAGTATAAATCGTCAGTTGCAGATTAATGTGGATATTACGGTGAATACTCGGTGTTCGTGTGTGTATTTCGGTGTAGAAAAAGTTTATGTTGTTATGGGAATGGGATAGCCATCAATGAAGTGAATCAAAGAACATTATTTCTTAACATGACTACCATGATTGTTATTTTAGATTTGACGGTTGATTTATTGGATATGGCGGGTGAACGAATGCATGTTGCTAATGAATTAAAACGAGTTCCGGTAAACTAAAAATAAATGATGAGACTGTATTTCTCTACATCCGATGTCGATGCTTAACTTTATTATAATTTGTTTGGCAGACAAAATTCGAAGTTAGAACAGCACATCATGTTGGGTAAGTTCTCCTTTAATAAATATCATTTAACTTGATGATTACTTTGGGCTAATAAATGGTAAAAAATTCAGCGAAGTAATCGACAGGCCCTTAAATGTTCACCAGATGGTAAAAGACGCGGCATACAACACAGATGCGTTTTCACCTGATCGGGGAGCTGAAAGTGCGTCTCCTTTTTCTTCAATTATGAAATACAACTTTTTAGATTAATTTTCTACCTTACGTAAAATCTTAGGTGATACCTCTGCATGTAGAATTTTTGGAACATTTGAAGTGAACAAAGTTCTTGGGAATCTATATATTACCGCGTATGGACACGGGTATGGATTTGGCTTAGTTCATATCGATCATGATTGTAGCTATTGAATTTTTTTTATCTACTTTTTTTGTTGCATAATTATTATAATATCTAATTATTGGTTTGTTTTTTTTTATTAATAGTAATGAACTTCACACATCGAATTGATAAATTCTCTTTTGGAACACATTATCCACGGTTAGTCAATCCGTTAGACAATAGTATAGAAATTTCTGAAGCACGTAAGTACGTGTGGTCTTTTGTTGTTGATATAAAAGATGCTATATTATGATATAGATTATATTCATAATTGATAAAAAAAAACCTTTTATAACGTTAGACTCTGAGATTTTTTCGTATTATATGTCAGTGGTAAGTAAAATATTTTTCTGTATATCTGTACCTATTTCCTATTTATGTTAAACTTTATAAAATAAAGGTGCCAACCACATACATCGACAAAAACAATCGAGTCTTATACACGAATCAATACTCGGTGACGGATTACATGCATGATGCGGAGAAAGCGCAAGCAGGAGTTCCGGGTAATGAATTTTATTGTTATTGATTATTTGATTTACTAAAAGGAACCAAACATTAACACTGTGTGTATATATTATATAATAGGAATTTTTTTCAGATACGAAATTGAACCAATATCGGTACGGATAACAGAGACATACACAAGTTTCTCACGATTTCTGGTGAGATTGTGTGGAATCGTGGGTGGAATCTGGGTCACAACTGGTTTCGTGTTTAGAATTGTGGATGGGTTTTGGCGGAACGTGATGATTAATAATAATAAAAATGATATTGATAGCTTTGGCAAGTACAATTAAAAATGAATGAATAAATGATTTTAGAATAAGTATCATGTGATTATTTAATTTATATTCTTTGGATGTTTAATTTCTCAGTTAAAGAAATAAACTATTTGATGTTTCATTAACGTTAGTAGTAGTAGGAATAGTAATAATAATAAACTTTCCACTTACTAACTACTTAGCAGATGTTTTCAATTGTACCCCATGCATCTTCGCAATATCATCTTTTAGAGTCTCGGTCACTAGGCGATGCTGTTTGACCATAGAAAGTTCACTAAAAGCAGACGATGCGATTTCTATGGCGTACATGTCTCCACAACCGCCTGAAAGATTAAATCAAATAATTTTATTAAAAAATGAATCTTCCATCATGTGATCCTAATTGCTTTTAAATATAATTGTTTACCTGATATGTCATGAACAATCAATCTTGAAGGATTAAACCTTTCCTTCAACTTTTCATATAAATGTTTTTCACCTGGTGTTCCAACAAATTCCTGTTTCTGTTCTACTTCACTTTCACTTTCTGTTGTTCTCCCATTAATTCTATCTCTATTATTAATACTAGTACTGTGTAATAATCGAACCTGGAAAATCGGCAAAGAATTACCATTTAAAAAACTTCCTAACGGTAAGGATTTTATTTTTGGTGCAAGTTTGATCAAGTGCATTTTTCATATTTGTTATGTCTAATTTTTTTTTTCGGCATTCTAAAATTACGTGATCTACGAATGTCGTTGGATTTTCAGCCTATAACATTATTCGTCATATGAATCCCTGCATATATTTTGTAATCCCGATTAGAAGCCTCACTGGCTAAAAGAGAGTGAAATATAGAGCATATGCCGTGCATTTAGAAAAGTTTATATATAGCGTGCATTTATGGAGGATAGATTTGGTTTCCCTGTATGCATTTTAATGATCTTGTATTTCTTCAAATGATCCCAATTATTGGATTTTTCAATCCATTCTATTTCATCAATTTTTCTAATTATATTAGTACATTCTTGGAATATGAAAATAATGTACATCGAGCAGACTTCTATCGTATCAATGACTATTATTATTTATAAATTTATCGTTGAATATCATCCTTTTTAAATTACGATTTTCTAGAATTGTCCCATGTTAATAGTCCAAATGCGACTAAGATGCTAAAACTGCCCAGTATCGTGTTGATCTCTAGCGGGTGGTGCGTGATTAACATGTCAACCTAAAAAAAAAACCCCCCCCCCCCGGGAGATTCATGTTAAAGAAATATTCATAATACCGGACAATGGAATTTTTTAAACATACCCATGCTACAATCGGTATGGTCAACATAATGCCAATAGAAGCGAAAAGCTAATAAAACAAAGATTAGCGTTGATTGTACAATCGATGTGAATCGACAGTTCATTATTAATAATAATAAATAACTTACTGGACTAGTCAATGCAATTACAAACATAAAACTAGCATTGAACATGACTCCCATAATCGCAATCAACATGACATACAAAAAAGTGTTCAAATCCGGCAGCGAGAACTTTTCCAACTCTAAGAAATGTAGTAATGGTATTGGAATCCACAAGATAAGAATTGTGAAAATGCCCATTAATGCGACGATTGTGTTTGAGAATAAAATTGACGTGGTGGGTGGTGATAAATACTTTTTGAAAAGCACTTCGTAAAGTCCGTAAAGTGATGCACCGATAAGTGCGATGAAATTTCCAGCAATTTCGTGTTTTGGGTATCCATTTTCACCGTACCCAAGATTGGTGTTTGACTCGTCATTCTCCACATCTTTTCCACGAACTCCAAGATAAGACATTATTAATACTCCAATAATACTCAAAAATACCGAAAAGATTTTAACTAGTTTCAAGTCTTCGCCCAAAAAGAAGATGGAAAACAGATACGCGAAAAAACAACTAATGTTATAGATGGCAGTGAGATTTGCCATAGTTGTAAGATTCACTGCAATGTACCAAAGATATGCGGGTACACAAATGAAGAGTGAAAATACAAATGATAGTTTTAGGAGATATTTGATAGTCGGTTGATATTCTGGAGATGAGATAATGGCCAGAGTTGCTGAAATATTAGTGTTGATGGCAGAAGGGGTGTTGTCTTCCCCTTCAGAATGATCTATGAATTCTATGTTTTGATCGCCTCTAGCAAATTGAATCGCTTCATCTTCCTGATTAATGACTAAATTATAAGTCGTTGCTCTCGAAACACCCTTTAATTCTATGCCTGTTCTAAGAAAATCCTTAAGATAAAGATCAAGCGGGAGCCGAGTAATAAATAACTGTATGGGAAGAATAAAAGCATAACAGCTGTGTGTTATCCATCTATTGGCACACAGCCCGATTTAATATATTATAAACTGTTAAAGGATATTTATGATCAATCAAGAGGATATATATATTACTGTTATTCTTAAATAGAAATAGTATAGAAGATACTTACAAAATAAAATACGGTTTAGAAAAGTTTAACCGATCTTGAACATATTTTGCAAGTTCCTATAAACGTGAACATAATTTTTTAAACAAAGTAATAAATATAACCGAACATAATTTTTTGAACAAAGTAATAAATATAACCAAAAGTTCCGTGTAAGAAACACTATTAGCTATTTTTATTCTTTTGCTTACCGACTGAATTACAAATGAAGCAATACAGATGCCAAGCGTTAAAAATCCTATAGTTTTTTTATAAGCTCGTTCAAATTTTTCAGTGGATTCTTTAATATCTTCGTCATCAATAGTGTTGACAATATTATAAGAGGAATGTGTCCCAACGTTGGAGGAGGAAGTAGCCATTTTTACTAAATTTACTAAATTAAATTATCTGCATAAAACAGAATCCCATATTGGGATGTAGATTATATATAAATCTATTAGAGATGGTGTTATCAATCGATAGTTGACCAAACAATCATGATCACTATTCTCACTATTCAAAATAGATCTTGGCTTTTTGTTACATTGATTAAAGCATAGCGTAGAGTTGGAGCGAGTAAGAGGCAAAATAGCAAGAGACGATACGTTTGGGTTAAATACAGCAGGGAGCAAAATTATCCGAACGCTCCTAGTTTGGGGCAGGAACAAGTAAAACGCTTTGGAATTTTCTTATATAGTGTATAACAAACCATAATTACCTGTAAAATTTCAGCCCAATCGGGCGTCTCTAAAAACATATAAGCCGCACGTCGAATATTTCGACATAAACTTCAAAAATCAATATCTCCACATGTTTCTAATCGATTTGTGTAATCTTTTTTTTGTTTTGTTTCCTAAATCAATATCTGCATTTTTCTTGAGGTGTACAGCCGAATTGAAAGAAAATCATTATCGTACTTGGCAACAAACACGCATATCATTTATCAAGATCATCTTGTCGTACGATTATTCGCATTTTGTAATATCGAGATGAATTTGCGAGAAATATATAGGTAAAAACGTCGGTGTTTGAAAATTTTTCTGGAGACATCCGATCGGGCCGAAATTTTACAGGTGATCATGGCTTGTTATACATCATATGTAAGAAAATTCCAAAGCGTTTTACTTGTTCCTGTCAGCATACCGGACATTTGCATAATTGGTTGTACTATAATTGTGTAACATAAACTTTTTATACAGTTTAAAGTATTAAAAGAATGTAAAATTTTTGCTAAATTTTCTATACAAAAAAAAGGACAAACCAGTTTGCACATTCTTAAACATCTGCTTAAGTATTCTGACAGAAGTAATTCCACTAATCCCACAAGTTTAGAACAAGCAATTTTCAACGATCTTTAAAGATATGGAAATTCCAAGTGCATGACTACAGAAAAGACTCATTGGCCCATATATTATTTGTGGAGCAGAAGAATTTGAAGGTAAGTTTCAAAGGTTCACTGAAGATGCTTACTGGAAAGCTCTACAGCATGGAACCTTGAATTCTACATGGATATTAAATGTTACTCAGTTCTGTAACAGTCATTACATGAGTTATATTGTGAATAGTATTAATACTGAGAAAAGTGTCAAGATATCTGAGAGCACAGTTTTTTTAAAGAGATGGTGGAAAGATGATAATATAGAAGATGAAGTAATAGGAGACCAAATTGATTGTGATGACAGTCAACAAGAGTGGAAAATGAAGCTATCAGAGGTGAGTGATAATAGAAGAATTAGTGAGATTAATTTTATTAAATATGTTAGATTAATGACGCATATATTTTATGCAAGAGAAAAGAAAGAAAGAAAATCATTGATATATGATTAGAAGTTACTTCGGATGGATTTAGAGTCAGAAGACATTCATCTCAAATTATTTCTCAACCTGCTTGAGAAATTAATTAATCTGAATGATAGAGATCTTGTGGATCATACTATCTCATAATGACAGAAAGGTCTCTTGTTCTTATGTTATTTTCTCGCAGGGATCGGAAATAAATATATTAGCATATTAAAAAAAGATATTACTATGTTTCTGAATCATTCAGATATCTCTGATCAAGCAATCGATATTTTATTTAACATGTAGTTGAGTTCTACATCGAGGAAGAATTGACATAGGAAAAATATCATATCTTCTATTCATAGAGATAATATCACAAGAGAACTTGTAAAGTATCAGATAAATACGTTAATTGCTAATATCGATGATTATCATAACATTCATAGTTTACGTATTCTAATAACTACGTCAACTAGTATGATTACTCACATGACTACAGTTCTTGTCATTCTAATATCTACAGTAAGTACGATTCCAAAGAGTATCAGAAATGTAAATATATATAATCCGTAACTTGTTGACAGTAGTGTTTTGATTATTCAAATAGAAAATAAGTTTATGGCTCTTCTATCTCAATCATTTAATGATTGGTTTGCAAGAAAACATGCTTACACTGAAAATAATTTACTTGATAATCTAATGATTCATTGTTATGATATAGATATCTATGAGAAATAATATAATTGGTAACTTAACAATACATTATTAATCGATTTTCTCAAGCTTAATTTACATTTGACAGAGACATACATTAAAGCTATGGAGATATTTGTATCCTTTCCAGAATTTCATGAGTATCTCCAGCACAATGTTATTCCATTGATTGCTAATTAGTCAGGTCAAATACTTCCTCGAAAAGTAATTATGATACAACAATAACAAGTACGGAAGAATATTCAAACAGGTAAAATTCCAGAATGTGTTAGTTCATTTATTCTAATAATGGGATCTTTACATGTATCTCTCAATAGTTGTGAAACTGTTGTATTGTTATTTTATAAATTTTTTAATTTAGCACACAAACATATTTTTGAAAAAAACAAAAAACTTGCTAACAAACCTCATCCTTGGAGAATTAATCTTTTATTATAATTAATATCAGATGCTTAGCAAACCGTCACTCTATATGTTGCACAGAAATTTAACTTTTCTTCTTGTAGAGATGTTGAATATCTAACACTAAAAACTCTTTTAGATGACATGATTCCTTTAGTTCTTAATATTTATGCAACAATTTTTAGATCAGGTGATTGGAATGGATATATTGAGACTTGTATGAGAATATGATGCTTGTTTGCTCGATTTAAATAGAGAAATTATAATAAAGCACCACTATTTTTTCTTTCAGATATTTGATATTGAGAAAGTATTAATCATCCTATTCTCGAGATTTTAGAAAAGCATCTTGTGGCATTTAGTAATTATCCAGTGGAAAATTATCATTTACTAATTTGTTAACAAACAAGAGAAATAGATATGCCTAAATAACTTTTGAGAATAGCTCATGTTATCAATTGTCTTCATCATGATAACATATTTTGGAGTATATTCATTTCATCAACAAGATATCCTTATTATAAAAAAGATCTAATAGATTTAACTAATAAAGCATCTATCTTTCTTCTAGAATTATTTACTGACATTAAAAATAATATTGGGAAAAGCAAATGGACAAAACGTGATAAAAACAAACTTATATGCCATCTTGCAGTTCTTAATATAGATGTAAATCAATAACATTTGTCAATGGTATTCAATTCAGAATATTCTCTATTTGATCCATCAGAAAAATATCATCTTTGAAATTCTTGTAAAATGTTGTAATCAACTTTTGATCAGTCTATTTCACTTCTATGTGGCCACATTTATCATCAATATTGCTTGCAATATCTCAAATATAAATGTTTTTATTGTTTAAAGTATATTAAAAATGAAATTAATTATAATGTAAACTCTATTATTAGCAGAATCACAAATACGAATATGAATGAAGATAATTCTGAGGTTGATTTCAGTCAAGAAAATGAGATTCAATCAGCAGATAATGATAATGAAGTTGAAGACTTATCAAAGCAACCACTATTTAATTTAAAAACCACAAATGACTTCAAATTAGCACTTGAAATATTTATGAAATAAATATATATATATTTTGATCAGCCAATCATATCAAAGTTCATATGAAATTGGAATTGACCAATCATATAAATGTCTGATATGCTTGTTCCTGTCCCAAACTAGGAGCGTTCGGATACTTTTGCTCCCTACTGTAGAGTAGGGGCAAGAGAGGGAGAATAGTTTGGAATGCATTACAACACGCACTGCAGGCTTAGTGGAGATGCAACGTTGAAAGATCTATGTTTTAATCATTTATTATTCTTCAGTGTCTCGAATCTAAGGGAACAGTTCGGTTATACATCGTTGAGCAATGATTGAATTTAAATCGTTTACCATTTTTAGAGATATTAACTCCATTATAGCGGACACGTGCATGTCAAGAAGTAATAGCGACATCTGGGGAAGAGCGACAACTTATCGATAAAGTCTTATTCCAACCCGGTGGTATTGACACTCGCAGTGCAACTGCAGACCGTCTGAGCAAAACAAACGTTCTCTCAGACTTCCGTCAAGGATATCAGTTGAGAATCAGGAAACTTGACTTCACATCACCGCTAGTCCGTGTAGCTTATCTTTAGTAACGTCTTGGATCTAGAACCCATGTACACAATTTACCAAGTTCTTTCGAAGATTTTATCAAGGAGGTGTTCAAATTAATGAGCCCGGAGACTTTCAAGAAAACCCTTTGTGTGGCAAATGGAGCAGCAAGACAACTGCTTCCAAACAATGTACATATCTCCAGACATTGATGCCCGTTTTTGCTTCGGAGGGCTGGGTGAACTTCTACGTTGATGACAACATGATTGGATGATAGTTATTCAAAATCAATTAAAGAATTAAAAAGAGAATTAATGAAAGAGTGAATCCATTTTCCTAATGAACTTGTCCTAATTCTGATTAATAGTATGAAAAACTGAATTTTGGTACTAATTAAGTCTGATAGAGATTATATTATGTTACGTATTTTAAAAAAAAAATTTAAGCGTTTATTTTATTTTTGAATAATTTAAAGAAAGTTTGCTAACTTTCGCAAGAGATTATAATACAAATTTATAATTATTTTTTCCGAAACAACTTTGTTGTCAGTGTAGACATAAACATTCTATTATATATATTATAATGTTTCCAGCCATTTAGACTTTGGAAAATTCTAAAATTCTAAACTTGTTAAAATGTATTACAAACATGTTTTATCAGTTGTAAATATACATCATGTTTGCCAATTAATATTGCAGGTGCGTGCCCAGTTTCGGAAAATTCTTTAAAGTTTTTTTTTACAACGTCAAAAGTTGCGTAATCAAAATCAATCAAAATGAATTTTTTTTTGTATTCATCAGTATGTCGAACAATATTTGGCTACCGAACATCTCTGTGCATTATTGGCCTGGGTTTAATTTCATGCATACCCTAGTTTAAGAAAACTCATCACTTAAATATAAAATCACGGACATTGAACATTTTCCGAGGATAGATATTAATGCTCTTTACATATGTAGCAAGGAAATTAAATCAATCATGAATTGTCGAATAAATAAATAAATAAATAAATAAATCCATTTCATTCGAATGCATCTAAATCAACAGTGACACCGATGATGATTGTCAATGGTTTAATCTTATCTCCCAGCATTAACCCTAACTTTGCTCTAAACCCAGTCGTATCCCTAATTTAATTTGGCAATTTTCGTTTTCATTCATTCTGTTTGGTAAAGTACCAGTAGCCCTCGTAAATCGTCGCATCAAAGTAACGTGGTTCAGTAAGATCCCATAAATAAAAGAAGAATCCAAAAATTCCGATCAGAAATGCCGCATAGATAGCTGAATTAATTTTCCGTAAGATAAGAGGTTTTATTTTGAATTATTGAATTTTCGAAAAAAAAAGGAATAACAACAAAAATAACTCACTATATCGTCTTCCAGCACTCATACCCTTAAAATTGACGCTGGGAAAGCCCATCATATTGCAGAACGAGTGACAAAGAAAAAGAGGAAGCATGTTACCTATCGGAAGAAAAAAGAATTCTATAAAGATTACTTATTATACCTTATAAAATAGTATCTTCGTAAATAAATGTTACCTGTTCGAAGAAAAAGAAAAGTCGCGTACCATCCATAAAGGGTCGTGTATGTGAACTGCATCACTAATAAAAATATTGGATCATAATTATTCTTCAATGTATCTGGTGCATGAAACCAGTATGAGTATAAAAACGTATTATATATTTACGAGATTGTAGGATACCGATCATAGCAGCTTGTTTGTTCTTTCCATTATTCACATAGTATTCCCATGCGTGATGTATATGCGCTATATCACGTACATTTCATATAATAATTGTCTATTAATTAAAAAGATTACGGCATTTAACTGAAAAGATCAAGGAAGAAATAAATAATTATAAGTATTATTATAATATTATATTTACCAATCCCAAAAAACAATGGAGACACAAGAATTATCCATTCCCTTGAAAATGTAGCGTACGCAAGTAACGGTACCATACAACATCTAAACACAAATTCCTCTGTAAATGGTGCCTATCAAAATTGATGATATTCATGATGAATATAAATGCTATTATGTCACATTTAGTTAATATACTCACGAATATATAATTCCTAAATCCAATTAAACTCCTCATCAACGCTATTACATCTCGATACCAATTGAAACGCGCTTGAAATGGTAATTCCTGGTCGAACCACATAACTAACAATGGTCCAAGGAAGAGTATGCTTGTAAGGAATAAGGGTAGTGTTGCCTGGTTAAATAAAATTTGGTATCTGCTGGGAAGAGTAAAACCTATTAAATTTAATGTTGTTGAAAGCTGTCGTAGAATCGACAACTAGAATTCATTAAAATAAATAATATTAGCCAGAAATAAAATAATCTATTTAGAAAAAGCGATCTCTCTTAAAGACATAATAAACATACGTCAGATACAGATACAAATGCTCCTTCCCAACGAAAAATTAGCCATACTTCCAAGAACGATAAAAGACAAGTAGTAGTAACAGCTTTTACACGTTGGACAATAACTCGGGGGTGATTGTTCGAGACTCTATTTCGACCACTAATACGCGCATCTTTGAAGACGTATAGACCTCCAACAGAACTTATTGTAAATAATAAACATAAAGAAATTGAAGAGGTTGTAGAAAGGGTGAAATCCGGTGTTATATTTGTGTGAAGGAGACATTTGCGAACTGAAATCTGGATAATCGAGTTGCAAAATTCCCCATCTGTGATCGGCAAAAATTTAAAAATGCATAAATTTTTTGATAACAGAAATTAAAAATGAGAACTCTTTAAAGGAACATCAATTTGCTTCAAAAAATTTTTTTGACTACAATTAACCATTTGAATATTTATAATATAATCAATTAATAAAGCGATCAATCAAATACCTCTATTTGTATACGTTTTTTCAACTCGTCAACTAGTCACAAAACTCTTGTAAATAATCCGCATTTGCCAATCGTTCATGCAAACCAGCATGAAATGGAAAGCGCTGGTCTCAAATTTTTAAACAAATGACCACGGATATAGGCGTTTTTCGTGGGGATTCTCTGACATATATCCAGATATTCTTGAGCCATTCGTCATATCGGCGGATTGAACTCATTACATTAGAGGATCTCGATCATTATATAAGAGGAATCGTCATACTATACAGTGCTCAACCAACTCATTACATTAGAGGATCTCAATCATTATATAAGAGGCATCGGTCAAGTTAGAAGATCTTGATCATTATATAAGAGGAATTGGTCAAGTTATACTTAGCGCTCAACCAACTCGTTATATCAGAGGATCTCGATCATTATATAGAGAATCGGTCAAGTTATACTATACAGCGCTCAATAATCGGATGACTTGGCTCTTTCTATTGCCGATCTAGCAGCTCTATCTATGATGGTATTGCCAGAATACTAATAATACTCTCTTTATGGTATCCGGCTAATAAACCTTCCAATTCCTGACCGTCTGCGTGCTTACCCGTCCAATCTATAATAAAATTTAAACATGTTACTTTTTTTTATTTTGCACCAGAGATTTTCTCTAATTACTTACTTACTTACTTTACACTTAACACTAATGTATGTCCCTGTGTCCTCCTCATAAAACTGATGCAGGTTTTGATTTTAAATATTCAGAAAAGAAAATAATTCTTATTTAATCTTATCAAATAATT